CACAGATTGGGACTCTACATGTAGGAAGGCTCCAACCCCTGCCGAGCGAAGCGAAGGTGGGCTTTGCGTAGTAGTGGGGCGAGCTGGAACAGCGAGCTCCACGAGTTGGGACTAACCATGCCCACCCGCCCGCAAAGCGGGCGGCACTCGGCTAGTCTAAACACAGTAGGCGAGTACGGTGTTTGTCTGTGTGTCCGTCCGTGTGTGTGTTCAACGTCTTAGCGCATAAACCTATGGAGTTGCCTTGGCTACACCACTCTTTTACATGCAACACCACCTATCTTTTAGCGTACCCCTACCTTATAGAATGATTCCAAGAATAAGTAAATTACAAATATAGCCCACTAACGGTCACGCTTTTCTGCGACATCCCTATTCGTTAATTTAAATTGTAGTAGTGGGGCGCGCTGGAACAGCGCGCTCCACGGGTTTGGACCAACCATGCCCATCCGCCCGCAAAGCGGGCGGCACTCGTTTAGTCTGAAACAATAACGCTAGCAGGTGTCTGTCCGTCACAATATTCTACCAAATATCATTAGCTGTCGAGGGAGCGGTGGCAGCCCCCGATTGACTAAAAGTTGATTTTTGCTGCCGAGCGAAGCGATAGTGTTCTCGACAGCAAGTCATTCGAATCCGCGTGATATGTGCGAGTGATTCAAAGCATCATGCCAACCTAACAAGGTGTCGTTGTTCTCTCGACGCCGGTTCTACATACCAGACCAATAGTATGTTGTGATTGCACTTCGTCGTCTACTTGACTTGGTCCCTACCTCAAGGCACGAGGCAAACGCGTGCTGGATGCGTGCCTGTGGGGGGGGGGGGGGGGCAACAGTTGAAGTGACACGAATGGAGCGATCTCATTGGGTGGTCTTTCTGGATCGCGGGCTGTGATTGGATGGTACGCTTGACATGTGGTGATTTGCATGCTATAATCGCGGGTATTGATGTAAGACCGTGTCCGTCCCATATAAGTGTGTCCGTCCCGTGTATACACTTTTGTATGCACCTTTGTTTGGTTGTATACAGATGTGTCCGTCCCGCGTATACGTGTCCGTCCCACCCAAGCGTGTCCGTCGCATATTAGTAGTGTGTACAAGGGGATTAGTAGGAAGCAAGAACAGATAACTAAATCAATCTCACTTTCGGATTTCATTCCTTCTCAACACTCACTACACAACCAAGCTTCGTTCGCTATTCTCAATT